CTGGGGGGACAAGGGGAGGGCTAAGAAGAGCTGTGGGGGGGCAGGGGTGCTGGGGGGACAAGGGGAGGGCTAAGAAGAGCTGTGTGGGGGGGCAGGGGTGCTGGGGGGACAAGGGGAGGGCTAAGAAGAGCTGTGTGGGGGCAGGGGTGCTGGGGGGACAAGGGGGAGGGCTAAGAAGAGCTGTGTGGGGGCAGGGGTGCTGGGGGGACAAGGGGGAGGGCTAAGAAGAGCTGTGTGGGGGCAGGGGTGCTGGGGGGACAAGGGGAGGGCTAAGAAGAGCTGTGTGGGGGCAGGGGTGCTGGGGGGACAAGGGGAGGGCTAAGAAGAGCTGTGTGGGGGCAGGGGTGCTGGGGGGAGAAGGGGAGGGCTAAGAAGAGCTGTGTGGGGGCAGGGGTGCTGGGGGGACAAGGGGGAGGGCTAAGAAGAGCTGTGGGGGGTGCTGGGGGGACAAGGGGAGGGCTAAGAAGAGCTGTGGGGGGGCGGGGGTGCTGGGGGGACAAGGGGGAGGGGCTAAGAAGAGCTGTGTGGGGGCAGGGGTGCTGGGGGAACAAGGGGGAGGGCTAAGAAGAGCTGTGTGGGGGGCAGGGGTGCTGGGGGGACAAGGGGGAGGGCTAAGAAGAGCTGTGTGGGGGCAGGGGTGCTGGGGGGACAAGGGGAGGGCTAAGAAGAGCTGTGGGGGGGCAGGGGTGCTGGGGGGACAAGGGGAGGGCTAAGAAGAGCTGTGGGGGGCAGGGGTGCTGGGGGGACAAGGGGAGGGCTAAGAAGAGCTGTGTGGGGGGCAGGGGTGCTGGGGGGACAAGGGGAGGGCTAAGAAGAGCTGTGGGGGGGGCAGGGGTGCTGGGGGGACAAGGGGAGGGCTAAGAAGAGCTGTGGGGGGGGGCAGGGGTGCTGGGGGGACAAGGGGGAGGGCTAAGAAGAGCTGTGTGGGGGCAGGGGTGCTGGGGGGACAAGGGGAGGGCTAAGAAGAGCTGTGTGGGGGCAGGGGTGCTGGGGGGACAAGGGGAGGGCTAAGAAGAGCTGTGGGGGGGGCAGGGGTGCTGGGGGGACAAGGGGAAGGGCTAAGAAGAGCTGTGTGGGGGCAGGGGTGCTGGGGGGACAAGGGGAGGGCTAAGAAGAGCTGTGTGGGGGCAGGGGTGCTGGGGGGAAAAGGGGAGGGGTAAGAAGAGCTGTGGGGGGGGCAGGGGTGCTGGGGGGACAAGGGGAGGGCTAAGAAGAGCTGTGTGGGGGCAGGGGTGCTGGAGGGACAAGGGGAGGGCTAAGAAGAGCTGTGGGGGGCAGGGGTGCTGGGGGGACAAGGGGAGGGCTAAGAAGAGCTGTGTGGGGGCAGGGGTGCTGGGGGGACAAGGGGAGGGCTAAGAAGAGCTGTGTGGGGGCAGGGGTGCTGGGGGGACAAGGGGAGGGCTAAGAAGAGCTGTGTGGGGGCAGGGGTGCTGGGGGGACAAGGGGGAGGGCTAAGAAGAGCTGTGGGGGGGCAGGGGTGCTGGGGGGACAAGGGGAGGGCTAAGAAGAGCTGTGTGGGGGCAGGGGTGCTGGGGGGGACAAGGGGGAGGGCTAAGAAGAGCTGTGTGGGGGCAGGGGTGCTGGGGGGACAAGGGGAGGGCTAAGAAGAGCTGTGTGGGGGCAGGGGTGCTGGGGGGACAAGGGGGAGGGCTAAGAAGAGCTGTGGGGGGCAGGGGTGCTGGGGGGACAAGGGGAGGGCTAAGAAGAGCTGTGGGGGGGCAGAGGTGCTGGGGGGACAAGGGGAGGGCTAAGAAGAGCTGTGGGGGGGGCAGGGGTGCTGGGGGGACAAGGGGAGGGCTAAGAAGAGCTGTGGGGGGGCAGGGGTGCTGGGGGGACAAGGGGGAGGGCTAAGAAGAGCTGTGTGGGGGGGCAGGGGTGCTGGGGGGACAAGGGGAGGGCTAAGAAGAGCTGTGGGGGGGCAGGGGTGCTGGGGGGACAAGGGGGAGGGCTAAGAAGAGCTGTGTGGGGCAGGGGTGCTGGGGGGACAAGGGGGAGGGCTAAGAAGAGCTGTGTGGGGGCAGGGGGTGCTGGGGGGACAAGGGGGAGGGCTAAGAAGAGCTGTGTGGGGGCAGGGGTGCTGGGGGGACAAGGGGGAGGGCTAAGAAGAGCTGTGTGGGGGCAGGGGTGCTGGGGGGACAAGGGGAGGGCTAAGAAGAGCTGTGTGGGGGCAGGGGTGCTGGGGGGACAAGGGGAGGGCTAAGAAGAGCTGTGGGGGGGGCAGGGGTGCTGGGGGGACAAGGGGGAGGGCTAAGAAGAGCTGTGTGGGGGCAGGGGTGCTGGGGGGACAAGGGGAGGGCTAAGAAGAGCTGTGGGGGGGCAGAGGTGCTGGGGGGACAAGGGGAGGGCTAAGAAGAGCTGTGGGGGGGCAGGGGTGCTGGGGGGACAAGGGGAGGGCTAAGAAGAGCTGTGGGGGGGCAGAGGTGCTGGGGGGACAAGGGGAGGGCTAAGAAGAGCTGTGGGGGGGGCAGGGGTGCTGGGGGGACAAGGGGAGGGCTAAGAAGAGCTGTGGGGGGGCAGGGGTGCTGGGGGGACAAGGGGGAGGGCTAAGAAGAGCTGTGTGGGGGGGCAGGGGTGCTGGGGGGACAAGGGGAGGGCTAAGAAGAGCTGTGGGGGGGCAGGGGTGCTGGGGGACAAGGGGAGGGCTAAGAAGAGCTGTGTGGGGCAGGGGTGCTGGGGGGACAAGGGGGAGGGCTAAGAAGAGCTGTGTGGGGGCAGGGGTGCTGGGGGGACAAGGGGGAGGGCTAAGAAGAGCTGTGTGGGGGCAGGGGTGCTGGGGGGACAAGGGGGAGGGCTAAGAAGAGCTGTGTGGGGGCAGGGGTGCTGGGGGGACAAGGGGAGGGCTAAGAAGAGCTGTGGGGGGGCAGGGGTGCTGGGGGGACAAGGGGAGGGCTAAGAAGAGCTGTGTGGGGGCAGGGGTGCTGGGGGGACAAGGGGAGGGCTAAGAAGAGCTGTGTGGGGGCAGGGGTGCTGGGGGGACAAGGGGAGGGCTAAGAAGAGCTGTGTGGGGGCAGGGGTGCTGGGGGGACAAGGGGAGGGCTAAGAAGAGCTGTGTGGGGCAGGGGTGCTGGGGGGACAAGGGGAGGGCTAAGGAGCTGTGGGGGGGCAGGGGTGCTGGGGGGACAAGGGGAGGGCTAAGGAGAGCTGTGTGGGGGCAGGGGTGCTGGAGGGACAAGGGGAGGGCTAAGAAGAGCTGTGTGGGGGCAGGGGTGCTGGGGGGACAAGGGGAGGGCTAAGAAGAGCTGTGGGGGGGCAGGGGTGCTGGGGGGACAAGGGGGAGGGCTAAGAGCTGTGGGGGGGCAGGGGTGCTGGGGGGACAAGGGGAAGGGCTAAGAGCTGTGTGGGGGCAGGGGTGCTGGGGGACAAGGGGAGGGCTAAGAAGAGCTGTGGGGGGGCAGGGGTGCTGGGGGGACAAGGGGGAGGGCTAAGAAGAGCTGTGGGGGGGCAGGGGTGCTGGGGGGACAAGGGGAGGGCTAAGAAGAGCTGTGTGGGGGCAGGGGTGCTGGGGGGGACAAGGGGGAGGGCTAAGAAGAGCTGTGGGGGGCAGGGGTGCTGGGGGGACAAGGGGGAGGGCTAAGAAGAGCTGTGTGGGGGCAGGGGTGCTGGGGGGACAAGGGGAGGGCTAAGAAGAGCTGTGTGGGGGCAGGGGTGCTGGGGGGACAAGGGGGAGGGCTAAGAAGAGCTGTGTGGGGGCAGGAGTGCTGGGGGACAAGGGGGAGGGCTAAGAAGAGCTGTGTGGGGGCAGGGGTGCTGGGGGGACAAGGGGAGGGCTAAGAAGAGCTGTGGGGGGGCAGGGGTGCTGGGGGGACAAGGGGGAGGGCTAAGAAGAGCTGTGTGGGGGCAGGGGTGCTGGGGGGACAAGGGGAGGGCTAAGAAGAGCTGTGTGGGGGCAGGGGTGCTGGGGGGACAAGGGGGAGGGCTAAGAAGAGCTGTGGGGGGGCAGGGGTGCTGGGGGGACAAGGGGGAGGGCTAAGAAGAGCTGTGTGGGGGCAGGGGTGCTGGGGGGACAAGGGGAGGGCTAAGAAGAGCTGTGTGGGGGCAGGGGTGCTGGGGGGACAAGGGGAGGGCTAAGAAGAGCTGTGTGGGGGCAGGGGTGCTGGGGGACAAGGGGGAGGGCTAAGAAGAGCTGTGGGGGGGCAGGGGTGCTGGGGGGACAAGGGGAGGGCTAAGAAGAGCTGTGGGGGGGCAGGGGTGCTGGGGGGACAAGGGGGAGGGCTAAGAAGAGCTGTGGGGGGCAGGGGTGCTGGGGGGACAAGGGGGAGGGCTAAGAAGAGCTGTGGGGGGGCAGGGGTGCTGGGGGGACAAGGGGGAGGGCTAAGAAGAGCTGTGTGGGGCAGGGGTGCTGGGGGGACAAGGGGGAGGGCTAAGAAGAGCTGTGTGGGGGCAGGGGTGCTGGGGGGACAAGGGCGAGGGCAAAGAAGAGCTGTGGGGGGCAGGGGTGCTGGGGGGACAAGGGGAGGGCTAAGAAGAGCTGTGGGGGGGGCAGGGGTGCTTGGGGGACAAGGGGAGGGCTAAGAGCTGTGGGGGGGGCAGGGGTCCTGGGGGGACAAGAGGGAGGGCTAAGAAGAGCTGTGTGGGGGCAGGGGTGCTGGGGGGGACAAGGGGGAGGGCTAAGAAGAGCTGTGTGGGGGCAGGGGTGCTGGGGGGACAAGGGGAGGGCTAAGAAGAGCTGTGTGGGGGCAGGGGTGCTGGGGGGACAAGGGGGAGGGCTAAGAAGAGCTGTGTGGGGGCAGGGGTGCTGGGGGGACAAGGGGGAGGGCTAAGAAGAGCTGTGTGGGGGCAGGGGTGCTGGGGGGGACAAGGAGACGGCAGGGCGGGGTGCTGGGGAGGGCCAAGGAGGTGTGCGGGGGAGGGCTAAGAAGAGCTATGTGGAGGGGGCGGGGATGCTGCAAAGGGCCAAGCGGGGGCTGGGAGCGGGAGGGGGGGCAAAGAGACACATGGGGGGAGGGCTAAGAAGAGGAGGGGGTAGGGATTACTCCTCCCTTGCACTCACCCTGTGACTGTCTCGCCAAGCCCAAGGGCCTGAGGCAGCAGCCCCAGTTGTTAGCCGCAGGGCAGGGAGGGGCCAAGAGGGCTCCTCGCAGTGACTCTGCTGCAGCCCACTGACAGGTGCTGGGGCGCAGCCCTGGGCATGGGGCAGCCAGGACGAGTCTGGGGGGCCCTTGCCTGTAAAGCCATTTCCTGTAACACCTGTGATGCAGAGGAGAGCGAACAGGTGAGTGATGCCTGCGACCAGGTGGGAGGGACGACAAGGGAGTCAGGGCTCCTGAGAGCCATCCCGGGGAAGATAATCCCAGCAACTCGGCAGGGGGTGGGAGAAGCCTGAGACACCAGAATGGCGGAGAGAAACCCGGCACCGAGAGTGGGTAAGAAATGAGAAAGGTATTTCCAATTTGATGTGACTGCCTCAAATCTTTGGGCCACAAAGACATCCCCACAGAACTGATGCTGTGTCTGAATGTGGCTCTCGCATGACCACCCATGGACTGTTGCTTTCCACTTTGCCTACCTTAATACCAGAGAAATTCTTCCCTCTGGGGAGCTCAGAGAAGAGCAACAGAAACTCTCAGTGGGTGGGAGAGCCCTAGTGGTGGAGCAGGACCCCCTGGTGCTAGGCACTGTAGGGACAGCAAAAAGAAGGTCCCTGCTCCAAAGAGCTTACAGTCTAAGGAGTAAGACAAGCGACAATAGATGAATGCAGACGGAGAGGGGAGCGTAACAAAACAGATGGTTCTGGTGAGTGTGACAGGCTATGGGCTCTGTATACCAGTAGCCTAATTCTTGCCAAGCATTTCCCTGGCAAAGGCAAGTTTGAAGGAGGCAATGAGGTGGTTTTGTGGAAGTTTACAGGAAGCACCTCCCTGGTGTAAGGGGCAATATGGGAGACCTGTATGCAGGTGCTATTTGGAAGGTCAGGAGCCCAGACAGCAATCAGGCCAGACCTCCCAACAGCAGTGCAGGCTCCATGTGGTTGCACTGTCCCACCCAAACAGCCATGCTGGATGGAGAGGAGGGAGAACCCATTGTGGCTTTGGCAAGACAGTGCCTGGAGCTGGAATGGTTCCTTGCCTTCCCATGTGACTGAGCTCAGGATCCCTTTCTCCTAAAACCACTGGACTCCACATTCCTGGTCTTGACCTTCCCTGACATCCTGTCACAATGGGCCTCATGCATCTTCTGCAAGTGACGAGCCCCTTGTTTGGACTTGTGACTAAAGCACAGGACTGGGAGACAGCCACTTTCTATGTCCTGCTCTTGAAAGCACAGAAAAGGCTAATAGAACAGATTTGCCGTGTGAGCTCAGGACAGTCCCGGCCTCACTTAGTGCCTCAGTTTCCCCATCTGTAAAATCAGAGTGACAATCCTGTCCCTCGCATCAAAGAAACATGACAGTCAGTGTTAGTAAAGTACTTTGAGCTACTCAGACAGAAGGAGGTAAGAGGTGATTACTTATTTATTACTACAGTTACCCAGAGAACTCTGAGAAGAGGTGTTGTAAGGGGGAAGAGAACACACAGGACCCCTTGGAGCATCACTGGCTGAATTCTCCTACTTCTGATCTCACTCTGGCTAGGGCAGGAGAATCTCTTGTCCATTATAGTATCTGGGGCCTGAAGATGCAGTCTCTTCTGCCTGGAAACGCAAGGTCTCCAATCTCAGGAGTTTGATTTCTTCTCTCTCTCTCTCTCTCTCTCTCTCTCAGGAAGCAAAGCCAGAGTGCAATGGGACAAAGCCCAGAAGAAGACACTGCAAGGAGTAACTGGATCTCCTGAGATTCTGCCATGACCTGCAGCGTTTCAAAGCTCTCTAGTCCCAGCCCAAGGGGAGACCATCAGCTGCAGTCCATACAGCATTCATCTTACTTGCACTGAATCCACTCAGAACTATTCATGGCCCAAGAATCACAGTGGGGGCTTGACTTGGATGCTCCTGTCAGATTAGGCTTTGCAGCCCAGCATGAAAGGAGCCTATAGTCACTGAACAGCAATGATCCAGACTTGGTGTGAGATGTGTGTCCTGCCCCCCTGCAGTAGCTGGGTCACAGTGTCCTTTCTGACTGCTTTGCCCGTGCATGTTCCAGATGACCTTTCCATCACACCTACCCCGTGGTGCAGCACATGCATGAGGCAGCCAGTGACACAGCTTAGTAAAGCCTCTTCCATGTGCTTCACTGGCTCTCTTGCTCAGGCTTGCCCTATGTGTCCTGCAGCTGACAGGCAGCGGGGCAGGAGAGATGCATGGTGCTGAGGAATTCCCTCCCTGCCTTGTCTTCTCTCCCTAGCCAGGCAGGGTTGGTATAATTGCTGGAGCTGTCGTGCTTACAATGCCTGTTGTTTCCTTCTCCCATGGCACTGATGCATCCGTGGTGCTTAAAAGGGCTGATCTGTGTCAGCGGCCTTCTCTCACTCATCCTGCTTTGGTGCCTGCTGGTCATGACAGCTGATGTCCAGAAGAGATGGCAGCTTTCCAGTCGCTTCCCCATCATCCAAGGGAAGCTGCCCAGAAGGTCTCGCTTTGGGGCCATTGAATCTGCCCAGAGAGGCGTGGACTTTCCATCTCTGTTCACTAACTCTCTCACAGATCCTCACTGTGAGCCTGGGCAGCTGCTCCTGATCCTCGTGACTTCAGCCCCAGGGAATTCAGAGCCCAGGCAGGTGATCAGGAGAACCTGGGCTGCCCATGAGGGACTGACAGCATACCAATGGCAGTCTGTGTTCTTAGTTGGCCAGTCTGCAGATGTTGGGGTAGCCCAGGGCATCCAGAGAGAGCAGCAGGAGTTTGGGGACATCCTGATTGGGAATTATCAGGACACCTATCGGAACCTCACCCTGAAGGTCATGCATGGGTTTAAGTGGGTAGCCAAGCAGTGCCGGCCCAGCTACATTCTAAAGACAGATGATGACTGCTTCGTCAACACAGACCGGCTGCCGGAGTTCCTGCTGGAGCACAACACTATTAAGACGGGCCTGTATGCAGGATCCCTCTTCTCCAGGGAGAAGCGGCAGGTCATCAGAGAGCCTTCCAGCAAATGGTTTGTCTCCAGGCAAGACTACCACCCAGATGAATACCCACCATATGCCAGTGGCATCGGCTACATCCTGTCTCTGGATGCCGTTGAGCAGATCCTGTGGGCAGCAGAACACGTCCACCCCATCCCGGTAGAAGATGCCTACGTTGGCATCTTGGCTGAGAAAGCTGGGATCCGGGTGAAATCCAGTGCGCGCTTCGCCAAGCACAACGTGAGGTGGCGGGTGTGTAACTACCGCTACCTAATGGTAATTCATCACCTGAGCCCACATGAGCAGGAGGTGGCCAAGGGGAACATGCTACAGGCTCGGAGTGCCTGCCATGACAGTCTGGAGGTCACCAGGTGGAAGTGAGCCACTGTCTGCCAGGAGGGCTGGCAAGGGACGGGGCAACCTCATGCCTGTAGCACAGTCTGAAGGGGGTTATGCAACCGGTGCTCAGGGTTACCCCTACCCCAAGGCCCCATCCCAGGCTCTGGAGGGTGGTGAAGCACTGGAATGGGTTACCTAGGGAGGTGGTGGAATCTCCTTCCTTAGAAGTTTTTAAGGTCAGGCTTGACGAAGCTCTGGCTGGGATGATTTAGTTGGGGATTGGTCCTGCTTTGAGCAGGAGGTTGGACTAGATGACCTCCTGAGGTCCCTTCCAACCCTGATATTCTATGATTCTCCTCCAATTAGCCTTGTTCAGGGTGCTACTGGGAAGGGAATAGCTGCTTTTACAAACCAATGCTAACCACGCCCACCTCCCTCAGCCCAGCCCTGCCCTGCCCGAACTTCCCTGGAGTTCAGGGATAGCAGTCAACTGGGGAGAGGAAGTTAGTCATGGGAGTGGGCTCCTGCCCCTTGGGCACAGGAAGGCTACGGCTAGTTAGCCTGTAGTGTGAGATATCCCATGGTTCCTGATTCCTGCCCCACCGTGCCTAGAAAGGGCTCCCCTCTGGCCCATCGAGGATAACACCCTGCTCTGGTGCCCAGCACTCAATCAGTGTTACTGACATCCCAGCAGCAAGTGGCAAACAACCCACACCAGCTCAGCCTGCCCCGCGGTTCCCAACCCTACGACCGTCCAATAGCGTTACCTCATGCTTTTGCCACTGTTGTGCAGCTGAGGTCCCCTTGCTGGGGGGACAGGCCCACCCAATTCTGCCTCCCAGCCTTACTGATGAGCTTAGGGCCCCTGAGCACATGATGCTGGACAGTTGCTCGGGTAGGGTAGGCCCGTGGCATTTGTGTAATCCCTGCTCCCAGCTAAGGCTTGCTGCCGGGGAGGCTGGAAAAGAACTAGAGCCGCTGCAGGCCGGGGGCCTGCCCTTCTGCAGCAGGTCTCTGTGTCCAAGGCCCTTGGCTTTGGGAAGGGGGCTTCGGATAGTGCCGGTGCTCTGTAAATAATCTGCATCAATGACACTAGAGGAAGCTGATGCCCAACTCAGTAGAGTTGTAGGGAAAAGCGGGGGAGGGAAACACTATTCAAACCTGGTGCTTTGCCAGCCGGGCATGCTGCTCCCACCTCGGCTGCAGTCTGCTCAGAGCCGGACCCTAAGGCCTAGAGAACTTGCATTACTGTAGCCCCTTGGTTATGGCCCAGGACCCGGAGCGTGAGGTGCTGTACAAACAACCCATTTCCCCCTCTGCCAGGAAGGCGGGTGCAGCTGCTCCTGGCAGGTTACTCTCCAGGGCCTTCTCCAGTTGGTTTTAAACATTCCTAGCCACACCGCTTCCCTCGGGGTGGACCTGGCCACTCGGCACAGAGCCACTGAGCGAGGGGCCATCCTGTGATGGCCAGGGAGCAGGAGGGCCACAGCCAGTGTTGGGTGCTGTTTTCTCTGAACGGTCAGAAGGGACAGAGATGTTGGGGGAGTGAGATGGTAGCTAACAGCTGCCTTTCACTGAGGCTTTGTCCTGCAATAAAGGTTACCAATAGCTGCCCGTGGGAGAGGTACTTTTTGGGGGACTGGGGTCATTCTTCCCTGACTGAAATGCTACTCCTTGGAGCTCTGGCCTGGCTTTTCCTGCCCGGCCCCACGCTCCTCTCCAGGAGTGTAGGGGGCTCCCTGGGTCCCAGCACAAAGATAAGCAGGGGCTGAGGCAAGGCTGGGGGTCAGGGGCAGCGTGAGGACAGAGCCCCAAGCGAGGTCTCCTGGGCAGCTGCTCCGCTGCAGGCCTCTGCCAAGGAGCTGCCACGTCAGCGATGGCCCAGCGACGGGCGATTTCCCCTTGCCTGCCCCAGAGCCGCTCCCCTCAGCGGTCCTGCCCGTGGCAGGTTCGTTTAGCGTTCCGATACTTTCCCGCTCCTCTGGCCTGAACGAGAGTCCAAAGCCCATGCCAGTCCTTCAGCCAGCCTCTCCAGGGCTGCAGGCCCCCGTCCCAGGGCAACACAGCTCCCTGCTGGGCTTCTCTCTGCCTGCCCTCCCAGGCTCTCCCCCCTTGATACACTGGCCTGGCTGGGACCTCTCCCTTTCCAGCCTGGCCTGGCTTCTCTCCTTCGAGCCCCAAGGCCCCTGGAGATGGGGCACCATGGGAGCTGTGGGACCAAGCCTGCTGATATCAGTTGAAGAAGGCTCCTCTCAGTGCTCTGGCTCGGGGCTTTCCCTTCATCCCCGAGGCTGTGATCAGTCGACTCCTGCTGCTGTCCTCCCGAGGGAGAAAGGGCAGAGGATCCCCCAGGACAGGGCATGCGGGGGGGGGGGGGGGGGGATTATTTTTACTAGTTTAAAAAAAACCCTTTATTTTATTTAAAAAATTAAAACCCCTCCACCACTGTACATGTTTACAAAGGGGGCAGGCAGCCCCCTGCTATGTGCACCAAGTCTCTGCAGGGGCTCTCGGGGGGGGGGCAGCTGGTGGGGGTGGAAACCAGAGGCGGATGACACCACAGGTTCCTCTTTGTGGTCGTGGGAATTGGGAGGGGGATTGGGGCGGGGGGGCGTAGCGGCTGAGCGGGGTGGGCAGGTCGGCGGAGCGGGCGTGAGCCTGGAGCAGCAGCTCGTGCAGGGTCTTGCCCACCTGCACCACGTTCTCGGAGATGAGGTGGGAGAGGGTGTCACTGGCCAGGCTCTCCAGCAGCACCTGCTGCTGCTGCGAGGTGCGGAGGATCTGCACCAGGAGCTGCTGCATGCTCTGGAGCAGGCTCACCACGCTGGGGCCTGCAACGAGACAGTGCCAGGGTGAGCGGGCAGATCCCTGCCCCACCAGCGCCATGGGGCAGGGGTTAACGCGCAGCCCCCCCCCCGCATCCCTCCTCCATCACTGCCACGGGGCAGCCCCCCCCATCCCTTCCCCACCAGCGCCATGGGGCAGCCCCCCCGCATCCCTCCCCCACCAGTGCCAAGGGGCAGGGGTTAATGTGTAGCCCCTCCCGAATCCCTCCTCCATCACTGCCACGGGGCAGGGCCCCCGCATCCCTCCCCCACCAGCTCCAAGAGGCAGGGGTTAACGTGCAGACCCCCCGCATCCCTTCCCCACCAGTGCCCCAGGACAGCCCCCCCCCCCTGCATCCCTCGCCCACCAGCGCCAAGGGGCAGGGGTTAACGCGCAGACCCCCAGCCTATCCCCCTCCGCCACCAGTGCCAACTGCACAAACCCCCCACTGCGCCCCTCCCCACCAGCATTGAGGGTCCCTTCCATCCGGATCCCACGGCCTGTCCTGCTCCTGCGACAGGCACGGGGGAGCTAGCGGGAGAAGTGCCCTGGGGCAGGGATGGGGTGTAGAGCCTGGTCTCAGTGGCCTCTCTGGTTTCTGCCGGGGCAGTCAGAGCGATGCCGGGTCTGTACTAGACTGAGCCCCAGCCAACTCATTGCACACTGGGAATGTCCCTGGACGGTACCAAGGTGGCCAATCAGGAGCAAAGGGCCAGAGATGCCTGCCAGGGTGGGCACAGCACAGAGACTCCCACAGTTATTTGCCAACAAAGAGTGGCTCCTAGTTGCATGGCCACTTAGTGCTGAGATGAACCAGTGCCAGGCGCCCGAGGGACTTGGCCAGTTCAGGGCTGGGCTGGGGCCAGTGGGATGGGTGTGATGGGGAGGCGTACCTTGCAGGTCTGTAGCCGAGGCCTGGTCACCCAGCAGGGGGTGCTCACCGCCAGCTCTTGTCTCAGGTGAGCCCTGGCAGCGCCCGCTCACCTGCCCCCTGCCCCGCGGGCGCCTGGCACGCCACAGGAGAATCTGTGCAGTTCGCAGAGGGAGCGCGAGCACCATTCCACGTGGGGAGAGAGCAAGACTCCCTTAGGCCACCCGACCCCCTGCTCAACAAGCCCCCGTCCATCCCCACTGACCCCATGGCCACCTACCCACTAGCCAGTGGCCACTGGTTCCACAGCAGCCTCGGCCAGTAGGTCTCACACAGTCACCAGCCATGTGACCAGCCAGCCCCGTGGCACCACCAAGAGGGCCAAAGGGCCACCACGTTCTCGGCGTGGCTGCTGCAGGGCCAAGGGCAGAGCCCAGCCACTCACATAGCTCCAAGGCGCTCAGCCCTCCTTAGCCCCAAATCCCAGCTGAGCCACCAACAGCACGTGGCCTCGGGCTCGACGTCTAACCCACCCACGACAGGAGACAGGCGCCAGCCCCAGCAGCCTGCCCAGCCAGAGCACATGGGGCGAAGCAGCAGGGTCTCTTACCAGCCTCCCGGTCCACACTCTCCTGCTTCATCGGTGGGAAGGCAGCGAAGGCCGGGGGGGCGTCTGCCAGGGGAGCGGAGGCTGTGGCTAAGCCGGTGGTGCTGTCCCAGTCCCAAGGGCGTGAGCAAGGAGAGCGGAGCGGGCAGTGGTAGACTTACCAAGGGTGGGGAGGGGGAGGGGGAGCGAACGGGGGCCCGGCGTCTGCAATGAGAACTAGAACAGAATTAAGGACATCGGAGCCCTCTACTCACGGGGCGGAGAGTTTCCGGGGCGAAGGAGTGTAAAGAAAGTCTTACTGGGAACAGCAGAGGGAGCAGTCTGCATCTGGGACGCCTCGTCCATGGCAGCTGCTGGGAGAGACCAAAGAGAAGAGACCCCCAGCCTGACGGGGGCTGCAGAGAGAACACAACTGGCGCAGGGTCTGGAACGCCTCCTGTGGCCAGCCCTGCAGGCTGACGCCCTAGTCACAGCTCCACAGACCCTTGCAGGGTCTCAAGCATTCCACAAGCTATATACAAAAGCAGGAGTCATTCACCCACCACTGGTAATGCAGCCACCTCTGGGGTGGAACGTAGCAGCTGTTTAACAGCGCACAGCAATGCTACACAACAGTTTAGGTCAGGAAGTGAAGGAGAATCCCATGTCCACTTGAAACTGCAGGGGGAATTTAGGGAGACAGAATATAATTATCCAATATGGAATCTAGCCGGGACAGCAGGGGTCACACCCTGACTTGCGAGAAGTGTGGTGGGATCTTTAATGGCCAAGACCTCGATATTATATCTCTTCCAAGGACTGTCTGTTGCTCCAAGAGCACAGTGCCCCCTGCTGGAGCTCTGGGTCAGTACAAACGATGGACATGTCACCGCCGTCATTTCCCAACCACAGACAACTCGTCCTG